GGGGGGGGGGGGGGGGGGGAGAGGGACCCCCAAGAGGTCAAAAGGGAAAGCCGTAGGACCCATCCGAACTGCACGCCCGGTAGCTATAGCTTTTTTTGATGGAACATACTAATTGGTTGAAAGGAAATGAGTGTTTGAACCTTGATTATATTAACAATGAAGTGCTTTATATTAATAATTTAATTAGTTGTTTTATGGACCTTCCTTCGCTAGTGGCTGTAGTTGCTACAATAACAAAATGTTATAAACAATAATGTTAAAACACTTTAATGCTTAATTTTCTCAAATTTCCCTTGATCCGTGAAGATGGGACATCTGACAGGGCCAAAGAGCATGTTTTTAGAGTGTTATGTAATGTTTGGAGTTTTAACTGATTTATGCAGACAAAGTTTGTCTTTCCCCCTACCATTGTCCTAATTTCAGTTTTGTTATGAATTTAAAGCTATACTAATTACTCTTGTTTATTACCCTATTTGGATTAGTTTGTATCCTAATTTTTTAAATGAATTTCTATTTTTAATTAAAAAGAAAGTTACAATTAATTCCTCCCCAAAGAGAAGAATGTGGTAGAGGAATTGACCACAAATTGGAAGAAATGTTGGATAAGCATTTGTGGCTATAAAACAATCGAAATGTCATCTCAAAAAATTGCAATGATCTCCTTCTTCGACTAAGTGTAGTTAAATGCAATACTGAGAGGAAATAGGGAAAAAAGAACCTAACAAAGTCCCTACCACCAAAAACTTTCGATGTGTAATGGAATTATTTGCTTCTCCGACTAAGTCTAGGTTCAATGAAATATGATGGTGGTTTAGGAAAATCAAACAACAAATGATGACCATTTTAAATCCGTACCACAAACAACACTAGAGAGAAACAGTGGCGCTCATAAACACACAAATTAATGATTGGAAAACAGGCCAGTCTTATTAGCCAAACGTGTTCAAATTGCACATGGTGCGCGTGCATTCCATTTAACAAGCACAACACATTGCAAGGAATTCGACCCACAAACATAAGGAAGTGGATTGAATATCACCTTTGATTACAGGATATGGGTATTGGAAAGTCTCTATCCAACCTCGTATCGACGATTCTAACAAACAGGTCATCTGAAAGGGTACGCCACCAAGGAGAGCTAACAGGGACAAGGGGGGGCAGCCGCCCGCCCAAGCTTTTGAAAAACATTTAATATCGTACTCTAACTTCTATATGTTAACAATTTTGTTTTTATAGTATGTATTTCAAGAACTATTTCACATGTAGAGAAAATATTTAGGATTTAAATAAATTTTTTTTAAAAAAATAAGGACATAATTTAAGTAAAATGAATTTATGTTAATTAATTAATTAAGAATTAGAGTTCTTAAACATTTTCTTATCTATTAAGTCTAAAAAAAA